ATAGCCAACTGTCAACTGTCCCGCTTGACTTATTGGCTGTCTCTGACACAGACACTCTCTCTTGAGTCCTCCCTTGAAACACGTTTTCCCCTTGGCTTCCAGAACCTCATACTCCCCTAGTTTTCTTCCCGTTTCACTGACTCTTCCTTCTCTGTGTCCTGTGTGAGTTCCTCCTCAGCTTCCTGACCGTCTACACCTAAAGTGTCCCAGGGTTCAATTCTCAGACCTCTTTTCTTCCCTATCTTCACCTTTGACACTGGTGACAGCATCCAGGCCAAACTAATATATCTCCGGCCTGGCCCTCTCCCCTCAACTCCAGACTAGTGTATTCACATCCCCATTCAACATCTCAATTTAGATGTGTATAAGGAATGCCGAACAAGCCCCAAATCGAACACTGGACCTCCACCCCCAAACCTGTTTCTCCTAAATTTTCTCCGTCTCAGTAAACAGCAACTCATCTTTCCTGTTGCTCAGGCCAAAAACCACAGGGCTAGACTTGCCTTCTGTCCTTTTTTCTCACACCCCATCTTCTCTCCACAGCAAATCCTAGCATCTCCACCTTCGAAATAGATCTGGAGTCTGACCACTTCTCACTGCTCAGCTGATGTCACTCTGGTTCAAGCCTCACCTCCTGGATTATTTGATGACCTCTGAATTGGTCTCTCTGCTTCCACTCCTGTTCGACACAGTCCATAATAAGGTGGTGGACGTTTTCTGCTCAAACCCTTCGTGACGGCTCCCAGAGTAAACACCCAAGTCCTTTCCATGGCCCGCCATCTACCTCCCTTTCTTCTCTGACTCGATCTCTTGTGTCCGACTCACTTGTTCACTCTAAGCTAGTCACACTCACCTCTTTATTGTTCTCTCTGCTCGGAGCTGCCTTCCCCCAGATTTCTACATGGGGTTTCCATCACCTCCCTCCAGACTTTGCTCAAATCTCATCTTCTCTGGGAGGCCTTCTCCAGACTACTGCTGGTCCCTTCTGCCCTTTCCAGGTGCTCAGCTGGGTCTGTGTAACAAAAGGCAGACTGACAAGAGACGAGCACACAAATTAGCCTTCAGAAACAAATGACGCCCCCAAACAAGGTTAAGCCGGAGTGTTTTTTTTTTACTCGGGGTTCGATGAAGACCAGTAGGACAAAGGATACCAGCTAAGGGTGGTGAACTGGGGGAACTTACCCACAGCTGTTCGTTTGGATTCCTTGCTGAGTCCTGGTGTCTTCAGAGACAAGGATGTTACTTTCTTCCAGGTAAGGGGAGGGCACCTCTCCCAGAACTATGACTACCATACTTTGGGGGGCATTGTGACGGGGGGGGGGGTCATAGAGTCCTTCCAGCACCTGCCATTTCACAAATTCCTTCAGCTTACACTATTCCGTATGAGGGAGTGCCATTCTGAGGTGATGTATCTGGAACCCTGTCACTATCCTGTTCAAAATTCCAACCCACAGCCCCTGAATCTTCCCCATCCAACAATCACGTTCCTATTCTAGCTAACATATTATTTTACTTATGTTTTTTAGTTGTCTGCCTCCCCCAATCCCAAATGTCAACTCTATAGGGGCAAGGCTTTTATTATTTTTTTTTAATGCATTATTCACAGCTGTATCTCTAGCACCGAGAACGGGGTCTACCACGGTATTCCTCCTGCATCATCTAGTTTTCCCCATTTACTGACTTATTTCTATAAGCATACAAACATACTATCACTGTTCCCATCTTAAAAGAAAATTAAAAATCTCTTAACCAACTTTCGTCCTTGCTGGGGAAGAAAAATTTACAAAATTTACAAAGTCTACAAAATTAACCATGGGCCACGGTTAATGATGTGGACATATTTTATTATACACTACTATATCCTTGGTGCTCTGGGTGTATTTTCTCATTTAACCATCACATCTATATAGTGGTTATTAACATTTTTTTAGTGTGTTAATGTTTTTTTTAATGTTTTATTTTGGGTAGAGAGAGAAAGACATTTCATGTGTTGATGTTTTTTTTGATGTTTTATTTTGGGGAGAGAGAGAGAGACAGCATGAGTTGGGGTAGGGGCAGAAAGAGAGGCAGGCACAGAATCCGAAGCGGGCTCCAGGCTCTGAGCTCTGAGCTGTCAGCACAGAGCCTGACGCGGGGCTTGAACTCACAAACCGCGAGATCATGACCTGTGCCGAAGTCGGCCCTCAACCGACTGAGCCACGCTGGTGCCCCTATGTAGCAGTTAGTATTGTCGCTATTTTGTAGATGAGAAGATCAAGCCACAAGGAGTTCAGTGACTACCGATGTCATGCAGCCATAAATGACAGAATTAGTTTTCCAACTCAAGTCTGTGTGGGCCTCAGAGTCACTTCATTCACAGTATCGTAGCTCTGGTTTCAATTCACACTGTCAATACACATGCAGTTGCCGTATTCCAAATCCATATCAAGGTTTAAGTGGTCCCCAGGCAGGGCACGAGGGCCCAAGTCAATTATAGTGCGACACCACAGGGAGGGCTTCGCCTAACTCCTTTAGAAGCTGTTGTGAGTCACAAGTTTTCCGTACCATTTCAAACATCTGGATATTTGGAACAATCTGGGTGATCGGTTTACCAAAGCCTTTCTGCAGTTTAGCATCTGCTCCGAGTGGGTTTCGTATTCGTTCCAGACGTCTGCCTTAAGTAAAAAGGGAAGTTGACTCTTCAAGAAAGAAGGAAGGGAGAATAAAATACTTCCGAGAGATATAGGTTATCTGTATAGAATATTTCTGGTAGAATAGATAAGCCAGTGACTATATTGCTTCTGGAAGGAAGAATGAGGGATTAGGAAACCAGAAAGGGAGAGGGACTTCTTGCTTATACCACTTGTACCTTTTCAAGTTCTGTGCCATTAAATACCATCCGAAAATAGGCCGAATAATAACAGCAGGGTGCCCTTTCTGGCCTCCCGCTGAGAGGGCAGCGAAGAGGACACACTGTCATCATCGTGCCCCCAGGCTCTGAGCACCCCGTCAAGGTGACAGTCATTCAAGCTCTCTCCGGGCCTCGGCTTCACCATCTGCAAGGTGACCATCATAATTAAAGTTTGCCTTGCTTTACTAGCGGGGTCTGTTGTGAGATTCCAAGTGTAAAACCTTATACATGTGTAAGTGATCACGGCTGTTTAGGAAAAGTGTGGTGGAGAAGAACGCAAGCCAGCTCACTGAGCTACGGAACACGGAATGGGGCCAGAATAGCAACAGTAACTGTCTCCATAGATAAGTTCTTGGAAGTGGGAAAATCTGTAGAAAAGCTGTTGTGTGGTCTCAAACAGTGTTATGTTAAATTCAAAGAGTAAAACGAGATTATCATTTGCACGGTTCCAGCTCTAGTCCCTGGTCTTGGAATTAGGCCAGTTTGGGTCATCCTCCCTCGAGACCTCACAAGGGCTTTTCACCCTCACGGTACACAGACTAGCTGGACTTCAGAGAACCAGAGCGGTTGAAACCTCATTTATAGAAATAAACAACGGCAAACTTTCAGTTATAGGACATACTAGCCTGAATTGTAAATATCTAGATGCAGCCTTGCCTTGAGACACAATAACGATTGTAGTAGAAGTCATGGAAAAAATGCAAGATAACTTGCTTTATGGCTACTGATAAGAGAATAAAAACAATGTGTAATGGATGCAGTTTTGAGCCACGCTGTGGGTCGTCAATGAAGTGAAGGGAAAATGGCATTTCTCAAGAAAAGGCTGCTAGGTTGTTTTATAGGCCGATTTACCTAAATAGCACGGTATTGATTTTTAATTGTTTTAAGTTTACTTATTTGAGAAAGGAAACCTGAGCACATGAGGAAGCTGAACGGGGAGAGCAGAAAGGGAGAGAGAGAGAGAGAGAGAGAGAGAGAAGCCCCAGCAGGCTCTGCACTGACCGTGCAGACATGGAACTCGAACTCATGAACCGTGAGAGCATGACCTGAGCCAAAATCAAGATTCGGACACCTAACTGACTGAGCCACCTAGACGCCTCTAACTAGCATAGTATTTAAAAAACTAACACAAACTAAGTGCACAGGGCACATATTTCTGGACTGTTTTGGAGCCCATTACTCTTGTTCATTAGTTATCTTATGCCATGGAGAAACGCTCTATCCTAAAGTGCTTAATACACCGATAAAAGGCTCCCGGTTCGGGGAAAAACTTTTTTAGAGCTTCATGTCCTTCTTCTTCTTCTTTTCCGATTCGTTTCCTCCTTCTCTTTCATCTTGGTACCTGTAGGGAAGGGAATATTCCTCGGCCTTCAGATCACAGACAACAAAGCACTACGTGTATCTAACCAATCTAAAGACCGCTCTCCAGGTCCCTGCCGGTTTCCCGGCGGAACAGCAGAGGAGAAATCGGCAGGTCCTTGTGGGTCGGCCACTGTCTGAGCTTACTGGAGGCCTGTAGTTCTCCACAGTTCTGGGATGGGCTCTTCCACGCACAGGGCGGCGGGAGGGTGAAAGGAGAGGATTTGGAGGCGTTATGTCAACTAATGCAGCACACGAATGTGCATCACAAATCCATTTGAAGAGGGAACCGTCTGCTTCTTATCATCCCCTCCTGTTCTCTTTTCTCACTTCCCCTTCCTCTCCCCTCTTTCTGTCCTTCCCCACTCTGCCTTTTCGGCGGGGCGCAAGCTACAAGGCAGGAAGAACCGAGGGTCTGAGTTGTGAAAACAAAACAAAGTTTAAGAGTCAGTAAATACAAGCTACACCCAGATTACTGAGAAAAGTGAAATAAAAACCAGCTCAGAGCCAAATTCCGGGAAGATGCTGTATGTTGGACTGACTTCGCGTTTTCACATTTGTTGCCTTGAAGCTTTGGTCATTAGTCTTCCGGTTCCTAATACAAAAAAGTAAATGCTGACTCGTGTCATTGGCCTCAGATACCACCGGAAATGGCATCTTCTCCCCAGCCGCTGGCTCAAAAGCATAGAAGCACCCAGGGGTGAACTTATCTGCCTTCCAGCCCAGGCCTGGCCTTCTGATCTACAGCCGAGAAAGGAGCCCGTCTAGGGAAGAGATCTCGGATCAACTGAGAGGTACATTTTCAAATCACCAGTTACTGTAATGAGTAAGTACTTTCCAGTTTTCCCATTTTATTTTAAGCATTAATTAGGATCCTCATTTCTTGGGCACTTACTGTAGAGAGGAATCACCGTCCTAACCCCCTTCACCCTACCCCCACTTAACTGGACAGCCCTGAAGAGACAACTGTTTATTTTGTAATAAGAAAGATTTATGATCGATACACTACCCTATCTCTAAAAACGTACAGTAAAAAGAGACAGCCAGTTGTGAACAGGAGAAAGGATGTGAAGCATCGGCTGTCTGTGCAATCTTGTATGTTGTGGTTGACCACAAAGGCTTGGCATCAGTTTTGACTCCCAGCTCTGCTTTTTATAAAATAGACGACCTTGGGCAGACGACTTCATCTTCCAAACTTAATTTTTGAATGTGTAAAATGGAGGAAAATAAAATACCAATGTCACAGATAACCAGGTAAAACACTTAGGATACTGGTGGAGTGGACACCAAATGTTACTGAATAACAAGTGAAATTAGCATTTCTCAGTAATAAATTAAGTCCTTCATTTGACTGGAAAGCTCTCTTAACGAGGAACATCCCAACCCTTGAACATGCAGACGTGGCTTGAGTATAACGACAACGAACATGTGCAAAGTTTCCAGAGCATTGCATCTGATTTCCACAGTTAACCCTGGTGAGTGCAGAGCCGTTGACATGATTTTGTCACTGAGGGATAGAGAAGCCAAAAGCCCGGCTGAACCCGGCAGCAGGAAGGGAAGCTCACGGGTCCAAACTCGGAGCTGAAGGGAGGAAAACAGGGCTTGAAAAAAGCCAGTGTCAGAGTGAGTTTGCCCGTTCCATTCTCCAGGCGAGCTTCTCTCCTCTTGGACCTTGTCTCTCTTCTGGTTCCAAGCCCTGCAGCTTAAAACTGGCAAAGTCCTTGGTCCCACTGCTGCCAACACACGGAGCGGTGGGAACGCAGGTCTTCCAGATCCGTCTATAGCACAGTGTAGCTAGGGAGCAAAGGCGGACGAGAGACTGACTCTTAGAATCCCATTTAATTCAGCACCTTTTTTTCCCATAGAAACACTATTGCACTTAGGAATCAGACACCACATTGTTAATCATAACAGCAATAATAAAAGAATATCCAACTTAAAAGCTCTTTACAGGGCCCTGGGGTGGCTCAGTCGGTTAACCATCTAACTCTTGCTTTCAGCTCAGGTCATGATCTCATGGTTTGTAAGATCAAACGCTGCAATGGGAGCCTGCTTGGGATTCTCTCTCTCTCTCTCTCTCTCTCTCTCTGCCCCTTCTTCACTTGGTCTCTATCTCTCTCTCAAAGGACAAAAAAAAAATTAAAAGCTCTTTCCTGTGATCTCCTTAGAGGAGCACTGGAGGCCACTTCTCCCATCTGAATGCTGAAAACACAGGAGATGAAGTGAGCTCAGAGGTGGGAAACCCCAGCCTGCTGACTCAGCCTAACGTTCACATCACTGCTTAAAATGGCTCTTGTGGCCATTCCTGGAGACAGAACTTTCAGAATCCAAGCTGCTCATCTGTTGAAAGCAACTTAGCCTTTATTGGCTCCCCATCACCCTTCCTTTCCAACCATGGGAAATTTTTATTCAAATACTGGTTAGAATCTGGAGTAGTCAGCATAAGTATAAAGAATTTCTAAGTACAAACAGAGCTTAGCACAGCACTGAGTTTTCCACTGACCCATTAGGAGGAGGAATTAACTATCAGTGAATGAAAGCTGAACTGAGTTAACTTCATCCCTGCTGTTTCCTCATGGAAAAATTTTTTTTTATTTTTTAAAAAAAAAATTTTTTTTTTTCAACGTTTATTTATTTTTGGGACAGAGAGAGACAGAGCATGAACGGGGGAGGGGCAGAGAGAGAGGGAGACACAGAATCGGAAACAGGCTCCAGACTCTGAGCCATCAGCCCAGAGCCCGACGCGGGGCTCGAACTCACGGAGCGCGAGATCGTGACCTGGCTGAAGTCGGACGCTTAACCGACTGCGCCACCCAGGCGCCCCTCCTCATGGAAAAATTTAAAGCTGTGTACAAAACATGGCTTTGATTTGTTTTTCAACAGAGAATAAATAGGAAAACGGTATGCAAATATTATTTTTCTAGATAAGACTATTTTTTCCTCTTAATTTCAACAAATATTTATAGCTGGGGTTAAAAGCTCAGGTTTTGGAGCCATAATTCCTCTTAAAGAAACAAAACAATATCTTTGGCTTATCTAATCAATCAGAAGATTCATTGGCAATGACAGACTAGTTATGCCTTTTCCTAGCTGCACCATCTTGGGTGATTTACATAACCTCTCCAAGCCTCAGTTTCCTTATTCATAGAGTGAAGATAGTAATAGTCCTTACCTCATGAGTGGGCCCGGCAGGCAGTAACTGCTCAATGAATGCTAACCATTATGCAGAGGGGTAGGTAGAACGGTGGGGTGAGACCCAGCCTCCAGGACTAGGATATACTGGGGTAGTTAATTATAGTACAAAATAGAACCAAGGTCTAAGTCAGGGCATCTATCAGAAGGAGGAGGGACTTTCCTGTCTGGGGAAAAAAGGGAGGCTTTCAGACAGAACTTCATTTGAAACTGGATCTTAAGGCAGAAACAGAATTTCAGTAGAAGGGGTGCCTGGGAGGCTCGGTGGTTTAAGATTCTGACTTCAGCTCAGGTCATGACCTCAAGGTTCCTGGGTTCGAGCCCCACATAGGGCTCTGTGCTGACAGTTCAGAGCCTGGAGCCTGCTTTGTATCCTATGTCTCCCTCACTCTCTCTCTCTGCCCCTCCCCCTCTTGTGCTCTGTCTCTCTTTCGCTCAAAAATAAATAATAACAAACATTAAAAAATTAAAAAAAAAAATTTCAATAGAGGAGGGGGTTAGGGAGCACTGATGCTGAGCCACAGAGCAAACACGAAGAGGTGAGAAAAAGCTCAGAGTATACACAGGCTCTAAAATTCATCCACAGGCATTGGGGAGCGGCACAGAAGGAAGGATCCTATCTTGGGTTAAAAAACAAAGTTTATAAATACAACATGTTGGGCTTATGCTAGCATATCAAATGAAAGTGAAGATACAAAATTCAAAAGCCTAGATGATCACATTTTATGTGAGAACACGGAAACTAAAAACCATGCCATTTTAGAAGTCTTCAAAAGTAAAAAGACACACTTTCTTTATTTCTTATGTTTATTCATTTTTGAGGAGAGAGAGAGGGAGGGAGGGAGGGAGGGAGGGGCAGAGAGAGAGGGGGGACAGAGGATCTGAAGGGCAGACAGCAGTGGGCCAGATGTGGGGCTCGAACTCACAAACCATGAGATCATGGCCTGAGCTGAAGTTGGACGCTCAACCAACTGAGCCACCCAGGCGCCCCAAAGACACACTTTCTTAAGAATTAAGAATAATTTACGGAAAGCACAAGAGGTAATCATAAAATCTAAAACAGAGGTGAACTCGATCGCTGTGCTCAGCTTCCCAAAATATATTGCAACACCCTTCTCCCTAAAGCATATCCTCAAGAATCCCATCTTATTTCTTTTTCTTTTTTTTTTTTTTCAACGTTTTATTTATTTTTGGGACAGAGAGAGACAGAGCATGAACGGGGGAGGGGCAGAGAGAGAGGGAGACACAGAATCGGAAACAGGCTCCAGGCTCCGAGCCATCAGCCCAGAGCCTGACGCGGGGCTCGAACTCACGGATCGCGAGATCGTGACCTGGCTGAAGTCGGACGCTTAACCGACTGCGCCACCCAGGCGCCCCCCATCTTATTTTTTAATGCCAGGAAATAGTTGAACGGTTCTCCATTCAGGCTCTCATTCAAGGATTTTGAGGTTTCAGGAAGAGGGGAGACAGCCATACTCAGAGGCAGAGGTGATTTCCACCTGGTTATCCCCAACCAATGTGGCAAGCCTCAATGATACATCAGCTCTCTGAAAATGCACAGCAAGAATATGCTGCCATCATTCCCACAGAGGATCTGATATTTACCTTTAGGAAGATTGTCCAAAGGTCACAAGAGAATTATCTTAGGAATTCAGCCATGGTTTGATGGTAGGATAAATTGGCGTCTAGAGAATTTGAAAGTGATAAGAGGCCCACACAGAAGGTTACTTGTTGCCCCCTCCCCTTCCCCACCCCCTGGGAACTTCATTCCACTCACCTGAATGCGTCTGGAACTCAGGAGACAAGTTTGGGCTGGCTTAATTTATTGAGCACTTAAAAACGCGGTGGGCCTCACGCTAGTGACTTCGTTCATTTAACCCTCACTTCTAAAGAGATTCGTGGTATTATTCTCGTTTTGCTGATGAGGGTTCTGGAGTGCAAAAAAATGACTTAAAGGGCCCTGGGTCTCAGAGGCTCGTAAGCGGTGGAACCGGATATAAACCCAGGGAGCTGATTCCGAGCCCCCCTCTGAGCCACTGGGCTTTGCCGCAATTCAGGAGGCATCTGCATACAAATGGTGATTGATAAGGAGACTTGGATAATTTGTTTCCATCCGAAGTGGGACTTTTTCTGGTGGGGGGAAGGGTGCTGTGAATAATTGCGCTGGAAAAGCAGGGGGCAAACCTGAACAGTTTGGGGCAAACAGAAATGTGAGAGTGGAGGGATTTACCCAGGGAAAGAGTGTTGAAGAAAAGAAGAAAGGAGCCCATTAGTAGGTCTTGAGAAAGACCAACAGTAGAGGAGTTGCCCGAGAAAGAGAAACCCACACCGGATCCTGGGGGAGGTGAGCCGGGATACTGGAGTGTCAGCCTGGGGCAGTTTTCCTCAGCGAGTCACCTGGGATGCCCCCAAGACCCCAGGAGCTGGGAATGCTTTGGGTGATAAGGCCCACGAGGTGGCCTTTAACAGGAGCGGCCGGGAAATCACTGGTGATTTACTGACCAACATTTCTTGGGTTTGGTGGAGTTGGAAGCCAAATGAAAGTAACAGGAGTGAGTGGGAGGTGAGGCCCCAGCCACAGCCCGTGCAAATAACCCGTTTCCAAAGTGGCCTTGGAGGGGAAGCAAAAGATAG